GTGAATTCTTGTAATTTAACATGAACTCCATTGAATAGCAATTCAATGTTCAAATTGATTCTACATTTCAGTTAGAAAACGTTTGTATGGGAAAAAGAAGAGGGTTGTTTTAAGGAGTTTTCCGGCAATTATTCGAATTTTTCTCGTCGTAAAAACCATCCTTGGACTTCAACGAACATTTAGAAGAAAGAATTGGCAACATTGGTCCAGGCGTTGTTGAGTTATGCGCCTACCAACACATTTTGTGATTCATTTTTATATTATGCCGTATTTCGAGTTCTGCGGCCTAAGTTTGTACGTCTGGTTGGTGGCATTGTTGAAAACAAGAATCCAACTGAAAATATATTTTCTGTATAACCATGTAAAATTGTAATATTGTGTAGTCACCAAAAGTTACCAAAAATCGATATGAAGTGAAGTGAACTTACCGTGATGAATGACGTTGACATTTCTTAGCGCGGTTATCGATGTGGTGTCACAGATTACCACAGATTTTTTGTTTTAAATTGAATGACATTGACATTCGTTACGCGCGTTTTTCAAAATATGCAAAATTAAATGTATATTATTCAATCTTTCTGAGAGATTTTCTCTATATTTTTTTCCGTAAGAACCTTGTACAGAGCATTAGAAAACTAGAAAAAAAATCAGCCAAATCGGTAAAGCCGTTTTCATGTTATGTCGTGACAACGGAAAACGGGTTTCATTTATATATATATATATATATATATATATATATATATATATATATATATATATATCTGTAGAATTTTGGTAACCGAAATAATCAGCCTTGTGAAGTGCTCAAAAGCTCATTTATTCATTACAATTCTCGATATTTCGATAATTTTTTGTGTCTTCTTCAGGAGAAAAACAAGCTGCAGAGTAGCGACTACAATGATAAATTTCAATATGTGAACAATACAATTACTCACAATTAGTGTTTATGCAGTGAAGATAACCTAACTTACATTTTTTTAACAAACCTCTCTCATTTTGTTGCCACTTATTCACTACAGGTTGCTCAACAGAATGGTCAAAAATTTCAAAACCCTAGAAGTCTGAAGGCCAGGCAATTGTGTTAAATGGGTTGATCGTAAATTTTTTTTTTCCACTTTCGTAGAAAAATGTTTTTAATTGTTCTACTCTAAAATATCTTCATAAATGATGCTTAATTTTTCAATATCTGATCTTGAGTGATTAACTCAATACAATACAACTAGTAGTGTCTGGTTCGCGTATATATGCCATTTCCAAAAATTATCTCTTTTTGTGATTGCTCTCCTTATCCAAAATCTCAATTTTCTCGTAATGAAAATTGTTATCCGAGACATGGACGTGACATACTAATGCTCAAGATCGCTTTCCAATACGACTATCAATTTTGTGTTGTGTGACTCTTTGTTTCAAATTCAGTTTAGTTTGACCTATGTAGTTTTATCACATTGACAACATGGTATTCTGTGAATGACATTGCAATTCCACAACACTGGAGTGTAATCTTTAGTTTTTGAGAAAAATGTCTGAAGTTATTTTATTATATTTGGCTATTTTGATATTCTCGATATGTGTGGGGTTTTTCATTATGTTATCACACACTATTTTAAAATACGCTAATTTTTTTGATTTGATATTAGCTGAACTAGGAATAACATTAGTGGATCGTTCGTTTGATTACAATATAATATTTTTTTCATTAATTTAATGGAGTAGCCGTTTTTAGAGAACACTCGTACTAATTTCCAATTTTGTTCCAGTAAACTTATATATATATATATATATATATATATATATATATATATATATATATATATATATATATATATATATATATATATATATATATATATATATATATATATATATATATATATATATATATATATATATATATATATATATATATATATATATATATATATATATATATATATATATATATATATATATTCATATATATATATATATATATATATATATATATATGAATATATTGAATTACTGAAGCCATTCGCGCCGTGGAAAAACTACATGAAATTGCGCTGAAAACCGGGTTACAAATTTCTTATGATAAAACCAAATACATGGAAAGAAAACCAAAAAATAAATCTTCTCTTATGGAAAAACATGGTGAAATTCTGCAAGTAGGCCATTTTGAATACCTCGGAGAAGTTATACAGTCCTCAGGTTTAAACCGAATCGCTAATGAACAAAGAATAACCAAGCTCCAAACGGCCTACAAACTAACATGGGCTCACTATAACAAAAAGTGCATTTCGAGAGGCGCCAAATTGAGGCATTATAACACAACGATTCTTCCAGAAGCAATCTACGCAGCTGAAACAATGGTTATTGTCGGCCATTCAAGAATTAGAGAAATAGAAAAACGAGAACGAAAAATTCTCAGAAAGATTTACGGGCCAATCAATAGAAACGGTATTTGGATGAAAAGACCTCAAAATGAACTGAAATGAATCAAAATGATCAAAAGACAAATAAGATAACGGAAGAAATCAGAAAACGACGAGCAAAGTTCTATACACATGTCTACAGAATGAAACAGTCCAGAATACCGAAAAAACTACTCATTATAATTATGAATAGTAAATGCGGAACAGAGTGGCTAAAAGAAGTCCAAAAGGATCTACAACAAATCAATATAAAAAATCTCGAAGATCGCACTGAATGTCGCTATAAAATCAAACATGTAGAGTTTGAGCAAAAATTAAATCGTCAACCTGGAGTAAAGTGGACAGATGAACGAAAGAAAGAGCATTCAGAGAGGATGAAGCGTTTTTGGGAGGCAAAGAAGATGAAGCAAAACTCCTAATGATTGCGAATTCAAGTTCAGTCGCTCTCCTCATGGGGAACAATGATAATAATAATATGAATATATCAGTAAGAATATTTGTTCATTATATCCTCCATTCAAGGTTCCTAATTCCTAGCCGTTCCTAATTATAGCTGCTATATTTTTATAAATATCCCTCTCAGAATTAATATGCGACAGACATAATTGATAAAGCTTTCCATGGAAACAAGCAACTAATGATTGTCTCTGCAGAATTAAGTTTAGGAAGTAATTGCGAAGGTTTGAAGGAAATTACATTAATTACACAGCACAATACACCTTTCAAACAAAATGAAGAGGCAGAAACTCTTACGATTTAAGAAACGTGAAAACAGCATCAAGAATCAATGGGACTAAATTGAATTACATGAATTTGATTAAATACTTCGAAGGGACATTTTATTTTCAAACTCCTGTTCAGTTCAGTTGTTTCAAGATGATTCCATTAACAGTTCATTGATAAGAAGAGCAAGCAATTAGAATATAAAAAAAAATTCATTTATTATATTGAAATTCATTTCACTAATTTCATTTGAATTATGGAAAGAAATTCTCTACCTGACAATTCATGTTGAGGTTAATAGAGCGAATAAAGTGCTACCTTGATACCATCTACTTCGTTTTAAGCTCAAACTGGAATAAAATTCAAATAAAAATAGACATGAAACGATGAGCTCTAAAAAATACTAATAACTAATAACATTAGACATTTCCAATGTTTTTGTTCTGTTTTATATTCGATAGATCATTATGATTTATATTGAAATTTGTCTTTCAAAGTCATTTGACAAAAAATTCAAAGTCTTTTGCAATATTTTCAGAGTTGTTCAATTGGGTATTACTATATTCTTTTCAAAACAGCGAAGTCAAATTATCATATTTATAACTTTCAAGAAATATCGTAGGAATGGCTTACCAGAACAAAGAATTACATGACTTCACAAATAAATTTCTTGTTGACTTTCACTGCGAGAAAACTTTATATTGATAAGCCCGACAATCCTTTCTCACAGGCATTAGCAATGGAAGTATTTAGGTTCGACTTACATCAAAATGAAATAATGACTTCAAATTAATCATTAATTTGTAGTATTTCTATCATTATTACAACAAATAAATCAAATTAGAATGACCAAAAAACATTGAACATGAAAACATGAATATTCTATCCATCAGTATTATATGTTCAGTCCTAATAAATGTTTCTGTCAAAATAAGTTGTTTCAGTGAATAGCATGTTTTTCCAGAAACCCTCTGATTAGATCGATAATTCAGTGTACCCGTATTTATTAAGCACTTGAAATCGTGAATGTTGAAATCGATTCATTCCGTTTTACATGAAGGAAAACAATGATTCACAAGGAAGTAAAATGAAATGTAAATAATAGTATTATTTCATAGACTTCGACGAATTACTCGAAAAATTATTTCATTCATTTGACAACCAATTGCCTAACGTTAATCATCAAAAAGAGGTAAAACAGAAATTTCAGAATTTTGTTGCTGAGTTGAAAACTTTGCTCCTTTATGGCAGTGATGAACTTAATATTTCCCAGAATCTACTTACAATTCTTATATTGGATAGGGTTGATATTTTTCATATCTTTGAGTATGTTTATCGATAAAATTAACACCGAAAAATTTTTGTTGGTCTTGAGTTTCAATATTCGTTATCATATTTTCAAGATCTGTGATTTTCAAACGAAATTTTTTCAAAAATGAATATCTCAGAGTCAGTCTCATTTGCTGTTAGCTCAAATAATTCATTTTATTCCTAATTTTTTTTTCGAGGTATACCTGAAGAAAACTATATGTTCAAAGGTTTGAAAAGGCCGAAAGTTTTTCAATGAAATCTATTTTTGTGTATCACAGTATGAGTGAGTGTACGTTTCCTACATTTACTAAAACTGTAGCTATTTTTCCTTATCAAAGTCTGAAAATTTGAATGAGGTTTAAATTTTCGTCAAATTGTAAAAGTATCGACAACATGTTGTATCTACAGAAAGACAGTTTGATAATTTTTTTTTTAATTCAGTGGACCTACAGTTTAACGCCGGTTCCGAAAAGCCAATGGTCTTGTAATCACTGTACATTACCCAGCATAGATCATTATTTCATCTACTCAAATAAGGACATACACAAACACCCGTGACTTCATCGGGGCTCGAACCCGAGTTCTACCGCACCATAGTCAGGTGTTCTACCGACTTAGCCACGGAGACCGGTTCACAAAAATTATCAATCATTGAAAATATACAGCTTTCTCAATTTGTCATTAACACTAATAGAAGTTCAAAAACCACGATTCCATGGGTACTTCGTCCTTGTATTTTTAATAATTATTATTGACATGTCTTTTATTTATAAGTGATATAATCATCAATTTTCTCATCATAGAGTCATTTCTTTATTAATAACCTTGAAAGTTATTCGAAACAAGTGAGAAGCAAAAAAAGTATCAAACTGAACAACGAAATTACGGACTTCCAAGTATGTTATATACTTGTAGCTATTACAGAAATTGATTCTGTAATTTGTTACATGTTTTATATCAATTGTAATAAAGTTCTGACAATGTTTCGCAGCGCCAAGCTATGTTCAGTGAATGACCGGATTGTATTCGAATTATTCAATATATAATAAATTATACCTCACAGAATTCCACCAAAATTATTTGAATACCTCAAAATATCCTCCGAGGTGCTAATTCTATGAAAAAATTAATACAACTGAATTGTATTATTATGTAGAGAATCACAAAATGAAGAGTTTCGTATTATACGATACACTTGAAATTTTTGTTTTGTTTCTATAATTTGTCTTCGCAAATTGTTTTCTGTCTTGAATGTGATGTATTATAGAGTGATATTACGTGAAAAGCTGTACACCTGAAGTTTTTTACTGAGCTACTTTGAAATTTATTCTCCAAGAGATACTTACTTGTTTCTAGAAGAGTGATATGTGTTGTATCCACGAATTCGGTTGTTGAGGAGTCTCTGTGATGCCGAGATCTCTGCAACAAATTGAAAAATTCAAAAACTTTGATAAAATATGTATATTTTAGTCTGTACTATTGAGACAAAAATGAATGACTTGAAAAAAAACTGATTGAATAGTTTCGGCTGCCAAACGACTATGTCCATAAAGAAAACTTTAGAAAATTGAAGAAAAGAAAGTAAAAACAAAGATCAAAAAATTTAAATTGAATGAAACGTATTCAATGAATTCTTCACCTTTCCATTGAAAACTATTTGCAAAATTCCTGGGAATTATATCAGAAAATATCAATCTGATTACAATCAGATTACAATCTTCATCATCAATGACAAAGAAGAAGGCACGGCCAAATTCAAACATAAAACTGACAACTACGACAACATCCCATGGTGGTCCATTGGGTTTTTACACCACCTGAAAACTGCTTATATTCAGAGATTAATTGCATATGCATGCAAATACGAAGAAAAAAGCTTTCGATGTGGATGAACTTTGGCACCGTATGCGAAATAACAAGTAAATTAAATTTTTTTTCATTTAAAAATCAGCATACAATTAGTCAATTTTCCGTATAGGTGATCGGATAGGCGATCATTACAGTGATACATTGCAGTAACATTACATTACATAAAAATTATTTAGTATGTTTGTAAACGTGAACCAAGAGAAAAAACCAGTAACGAATATTTTGATTTCATAGCCCTTATATATTGTGGCTATCAAGTTTGGTCGGATCCACGATAGATACATTTTGGAATCAGAGTTTTGTAATCAGAGTGTCTGCTTCAGTAAAAAAAAATATTGAAAGCCTCATAACTAATTCTCACGTAAAATATGCTATTACTGCTGAATGGCTAAAATAAGCCAATGTATATGTGAGTGCACATAATATAATTTAATATAATATATAAATATAAATTTATTGAGAAACATTGCTTACATTGTAAAATTACATTCATTTCAATTGATACAATAATTACAACTAAGAGAAATGCTCTCAAAAGGGCCGAATTCAGTTTGGAGTCTGATTTTCCATTCAGACCTCGAGCAAAAATATTGGTTCAAACAAAAATCTTGGTTAAATTCATATTTACAATAATATACAACTTTGATTGAGAAGGAAAGAAAAAAAAATTCCTCAGAGATATCAAACATTTGAGACAATGGTGAAGAACATTTGTGTTAAAAAAATATACAAACATATGATACAAAAAATTGATTCATACATTATTGCCTACATCCGATTTATCGAAGTACTCTGACACACTATAGTATGCCTTCGTTAAGAGCAGAGATTTGACTCTCCTTAAAAAAAGAGCTTTCAGTACTTTCAAATACGATGGTAAATGGTTGAAAATTTCAATGCTCTGACAATAGAGAGAGTGCTCAAATTTAGCTGTTTTATGCATAGGAATAAGTAGCACATCCCTGTTTCTTGTTGAATACTCATGATTACTATTCAATTTAATAAACCTATCTTCATTTTCTTAAACATATAACAAACATCTATAAATATATAAACACGGTAAGGTGAGTACGCAATTATTGATGAAGATAGGTTTACAAGATGTTCGCTGATGAATATTGAATATTAATCGAAGTATTCGCTTCTGCGTAATAAACACCCTATTCATTTCTGTAGAGCAGCCCCACAGCAGAATATTATAATTTAGATGGCTATATACAAGACTGTAATACACATTCATAACACAGTTTCTAGGTTCGATATACTTGATTCTAGAGATTGCAAAAAATGAGTTACTCAATTTTTCACATAAGACCTCAATGTGTGATGTCCATCTCAAATTTCTGTCTACATATATTCCAAGAAACTTTGTTGATTGGGATGATGATATAGTGCTGTCCCCATATTCAACATCCAAGGTACTTATTCCATTGCCCTTCAGACAAAACTGAACACATACAGTTTTGTCAACGTTCACCATCAGATTGTTCATTTGACACCAACTTACAAACTCCCTCACAATGCATTCACATGCCTCCAGAAGTTCTTCAGGAGTCCTGCCAGAACAACCACCGATGAATCATCGGCAAATATTGTCACCAAAAACCGGGACAACTTCGCAGGCAGATCGTTTATGAACAATATGAATAGAAGAGGTCCGAGTACAGAGCCTTGCGGCACCCCAAGAGCAAAAACATCTCTCTGAGAATAACTCTCGCCTATTTCCACCACCATTGTTCTTTCTTCAAGATAACTACGTAACCAATTCAGAATCACACCTCTAAAACCTAAATTGTAGCATTTATCAAGTAAAAATTCAAAGGATAGTGAATCGAATGCGGAAGATAAATCAAAAAATAACCCCGCCACAAACAAGTGTTCATCCAAACACTCGTAGACCGTAATCCGGTTGCTACATGTTTCCATACTTGTGCGATTTATGTGCTTCTCAAGACTTCTGTAGTTTGAAATCGAATATTTTGAGGTTACAGTACATACATTTTTCAGTATTTTATAATGCTATACAGGTATTAGTAATTATGAATTGTTGATATCATAATGTAACAATATAAAAAACGAAGTCTTTTGTGTGTTTGTCGATTTCATCCAATGAAACCGTACTCGGGTTTTTTTGAACTAGTTGTGACATTAATATAGTTGGGGTTTACAAATTTCCTCGAGCCGAAATCAAACTTGCCTATTTAGCTTTGTGCTACAATATGTTCAATAACAAATGAGAATTTCTCTCAAAAATAGGAAATATCTCACATTTTACCAGGCAAACTTACCTCAGAAAAATTAGTTGAAAAATTTGGCTAATGAATGCTATCAAGAAGTTATAATTTCAATGTTGGTTTTGAAGAAGTTATTTGTGCTGAGAAAATAATTATTTTGAACATTCATTTTAAAAAATATGGAGAAAAGTATTTCTCCTTTTCGATATACAAAATCGAACATTTAATTCGTTGACTAGGATTATGACTGATTTATGTCTCAAAATGTCTCAAAAATAACGATTGTGGAAAATTTTCTCTATTCAAACTTCACATTATTTTATTGAATTCGGTATGACTGGTAGAGAAAACAAAAATATTCTGAGTATGCTTTGTTCAATTTTTTCTGATTTATTAATCAATGATCAAACTAAAAAGAGAAATATTGAAGGAAAACCCGAATCTGAAAATAAACGTTCAATTAAGTGAGTACTCATGTTCCATTAAGCAAACGTATAATTATATATACTTAGTCAATTCAATTTCATTAATAATCATTATGTTCTATTATTATGCCTTGATGCAAACATCGTTGATTGCCGGTTTCTGTGCATTCAGTACAACATTAGTATTGAACACCTAACATGATGTTCAATATGCTAAATATACCAATAACTTTTCAATCCGTTAACAATATATAAAAACAGTTGAAATAATCACAAGAGCTTGAAACTTTGGGATCAATCGGCTAGAAGTGCCGAACACTCTCCAAAATTTGGCAACACTTCCGGAGGACTCTTTTCATGGCCTGTCTGAAGTTAGTCTTCGAAAAAAGGTAACTCTTTTTTTATATGATGCTGTTCTTATAACCGGCAAAATATACAAAACACAAAATTTGTTAGATGTTCTGAATAATATATCTGAATAAATTATCGAAATATTCGGAATGAAAACCAATATATCCGAGAAGCACTAACACTAACACAGGTTTTCGCTTAATATCAATCAATAAATCGATTTGGGAGCAGTGCTTATTTAAAAATACTTCGAAAATGAGATTGGAGTTACTAGATGAAACCAGATACATAAAGAGCAACAAGGAAAATGTTTTCATGGTTGGTTTTCGTGCGAAGCAGATATGTAATAGGATCGGCGGTCTCAATAACTGTACAATCAAAAATCTTTGAGAAGCGTGGTTTCATTTTCTCTTACGTTTGTGAGGCCTTAATAACAACGAATACGGTAATGTACTACGTTCAGCTGTTGCTAACGTTTGACACATAATTGCCACATAATTGAGTTGCAGGCAATAGATGTGAAAAAAGCTGCTTGTATAGTCAATAATCTTTTTTAGTTGGAGAGAGATATTACCGACTTGAAGGTTCAAATTCGATTCTCCTCTCTACAAAAATTTTTTGCCACTCCGTAGATCTTTCATTTCGCATACCATGTCGATTTCTTGAAAAATACGAGAACACATATTGAGAGTCTTCAAACCCTTGACAATTTCAAGTAACAGTCGAATCGTTAACAGGTGTGTATTGCTT